TGTGTGTGTGTGTGTGTGTGTGTGTGTGTGTGTGTGTGTGTGTGTGCGTGTGTGTGTCTGCTGATCGGCTGCTGTGGGGTTGTGGGAGCGGTATGTAGGCCACTCACATCACGCACCACTGGCTCCATTAGACTGGCTGCAAACATGGATGGGGGGGTGGGGGGGGAAGAGGACAGGAAGGGAAGGGGGTGGGGGGGTGAAGTCAAATCAGACCTCATGAAAATCAAGAAATCTGAAGAACAATGAATGGAAAACTCAACAAGAACAAGATGCAGTGAAGGGGGTGTCTGTAAATGTGTGAAGACTCTCACAGACCTTCAAACTACTCATGATTAATAGGTTCAGTCATTTAATTAATGCAGAGCAAAATGTACAAACTGGTGTGACGTTTAAACTAAATTAACCTTTTGTCTGTAGAGTAGAATAGATTCAGGTCAGAGGGCTCTTTAGCTGCTTTGCAAATGGAAAATAACCACATGCCTCCTTTTTATTTACTCGTCCTGCTGGAGCTGAGGTGGTTTGGTGTGACCTGCAAAGTCCGCCGACCTGCTGTTTGACTTGTCAAAAAATATCGAGTCTAACCTGTACCATGACATCTCATCTCCAATCAGTCAACGCCTAAAACTCACTAAATCTGTTTGCAGAAAATTAAAAGCCGTCCTCTTTTTGTGGTGATTTCTGTTGATTCCTGCACATTCAGACGTCCATTTACACAGCTCTGAGTGAAGTGACCTCCCTCCTTTGATACTCGTGCTGACAAACTAAAACCTGGTGAACTCTGACCCTGGTTTCCACGGTTACAGCAGGAGATCAGTTGCTAATGGGTTGTTTTTCAGGAACTGGTGAACATTGTTGCTGAGGTGGGGTTTGTTGTTGGTCCAAAGGTGGCAAAACAGTGGGCATGAATCCCCACGGGTTTAAAAAGTAAACGATGAAAAAAGAAATGTCTGTGTTCATTTTCTCACCTGTGAAGATAAGCAGCACTCCTACTGTGACCTGCAGACAAAGCGAGAGGCCGATCAGGGTGATGATGGGGGTGTAGAAGGAGACGTTTGGACCCTGGTCCAGCACAGCTTTGAGCTGGGAGGCGTTGGCCACGAGCAGAGCCACGTCCAGCATGCTCTCAGCTGCACTCTTCTTATTGGCATAATGGTTCATGTTCAGAAGGGCCGGGCTGCCAGGCCAAGCATTTGGACGAGTGGCCTAGGGAGAGAAAAGTGGCACGAAAAATAAATAAATTAAAGGAACGCATATCGCCTGCTGCCTTTCATGCCAGAGTTTCATGCCAGAGAAGAATGCATTGAAGTAAACAGAAAGGATCTCTGCTGCGTTTTGCTGAAGTGACAGAAAAAGCCGACGGGACGAGCAGCAGATTTGTGCTTCCTGTGCTCTGCTGGTGAGGATCTGGTTGCCATTCTTAGCTAATTAAAACAACAAGCAGCCATTAGTGTGGAGTGACCTTTGAAAACAGAAGCGTTAGTGCAGCAAGAAGAATCTGTCAAAGTGGTGAACAGGAACAGACATCAAGCAGTTCGTACATTTTCTTGTTCTTTTCCTGAACCTGACCTCATCATCATACTGCTTCTGTGTCCCAGGGCTGCACTTTTACTCCCCAAGCTTTGCTGTCTTTACTAATCAAAGAAGTGATGATTGACGTTTGCATTTCTGCTGGTGGAGTAGAGTGACCCTTCAGTCATGACCCACTTCCCCAAGCTAGATGCCGATCAGCACTGACTTAAACCCAAAATGCATCATTTTATCCATAATGTGCCGTGAGCAGGCAACATGTGGTCAATACAGTTTGTTTATCGCATTGCAAACTCACAAGTCTACCTCATAATGTCCAATTTCCTCTGAATTGATTCTTGTGTGGGTGACTATTGTGCAACAAATGATTAACTTGGTTTTGTGCAGTAGATCTTTGTGGACTCTGCACCGTAAGAGTAAATTGTACCTGGTCAGCACTGCTGACAAAAAGAAACTGATACAATAACAAAAATGTACTTTTTATTTTGAGCTCAGCTGCTGGTCAAATTTTTCCACTCAGACCTGAGAAGAATCAGTGGAGTCAAACCCAAACCCTGAACACTAACAACTTTGGTGCACATCAGTATTTAGCACATAAAACTCCCCTTTTTGTTCTCATAACAGGCCCCTGCAGCTGCAGAAAACAGAGAGATTAACCAAACCACTGCATCAGTAGGAATTGTTTCCCCTGCTCTGTGGGGGGCACATAAAAAACAGGAAATTAGAGCGGAAACCTTTAATTTAATCAGGCTGTTCAGGCTTAAAGACGTTCAGAGCAATCAGCTGACTTTGGTTAAACTGACGTTTGAAGGGAGGTAAAAGCTGGGTGTTTTGAACTTTCAGCTATTTTGCTGTTTTTGTGCGTTTTATTTTAGTACTGGGGCCATCCGTTTCTCTGAATAAAATGATTACGTTTTAACATGTGTTCATACAACCACTGTGCCAAAAAGGGTGGGATGTTGTGTAAAATGAAAATGAACACAGAATTCAAAGATGTGCAATTTTCATAAACTTATGTTTTAGTTGCAATAGAACATGAGAGATATATCAAAACTAAAACTGTATAATTTTTATTTATTTATTTATTTATTTTTGAGAGGGGGGGAGAACTAGCAGCTTTAAATTTGATGGCAACAACACATCTAAAAATGTTGGTCAAAAAGTGGTTGTGTTTATGACTGAAGCATCCCCTCTTTCTTTTTACACCAGTTGATAAACATCTAAGAACTGTGGAGTCCAGCTGCTGGAGGCTTTGGAGACAAATGTCCCATTCTTGTCTCATGTAGACCTCTAGTTATTCATTCTAGACTCAACTTCTAGAAAGTTCTTTGCTGAATTTTTTGTTTTTTGTTTTCATGATGCACCAAATGTTTTCAATTAGTGAGAAGTCTGAACTTCAGGCAGGTCACTTCTGCACCCAGACTCTTCTACCTCGAAGCCATGCAGTTGTAATAGTTTGTATGAGGTTGAACACTGTTTGACAAATGTAAGGCCTTGAAAGAAAAAATAAATAACTGAAAACATCATCTGGATGAGAGCATGTGTTGCCTGAAAACCTTTGTATCATTTTCTGCATTTATGGTGCCTTTTCAGATGTGTAGGCTGCCCATGCTATAGGCACTAATGCACCCCCATACCATCAGAAAGGCAGGCTTTTCAACCGTGTGCTGATAACAGGCGTGCAAAGCTGAGGTCCGTCTCCTCTTTAATACAGATGACTTGGCATCTATGGTTTAGAAAATAAATACATTTCAATTCATTTGAGCACAGCGGTTTTCCACTTTTACTCAGTCCATGTTAAAGTTCTTTTGGACCAGAGGAGATGGCAGCGTTTCAGGAAGGTGTTCACATCTGCATGACAGAGCTTTAACTTGAATTTGTGGATGATGCAGTAAACTGTGTTTACAGACAAGGATTTGTGGAACATCCAGTATTAATTTTAGGTTTTGTCCTTTGAGATCAGAGATTTCTCCAAAATTCTTAAAACTTTTCTAATCTAAACTGTAGATGATGGGATAATCAAAGACTTCCATTGTTTTTTGTTAAGGAACCCATCCATCCATCCATTATCTGTACCTGCTTCTTCCTGTTCAGGTCACTGGTGCCCATGTCCAACCATCATTGTGTAGGAGGCAGGGGACACCCTGGACATGTCTCCAGTCCATCACAGGGACACAGAGACAAACGAGAAACAACCATTCACTCTCTCACTCACAACTTGGGACAATTTAGAGTTACCAATCAGCCTAACATGCATGTTTTTGGTCTGTGGGAGGAAACTGGAGTACCCGGAGAAAACCATGCACGGAGAGAAAATGTAAACTCCACTCAGAAAGGCCCCCGGACTGGGATTTGAATTGTCGACCTGCTCGCTGAGAGACAGCAGCTCTAGCAACTGAGCCACCGTGCAGCTTTGTTAAGGAACATTATTTAAAAATTGTTCCACTGGTTTCTGACAGTTTTTCGCAGACTGGTGAACGTCTGCCCATCTTCACTCTCTAAAGTGCCCTTTGATTCCCAGTTTAGTTCTAGTAGGTCTATTTTGTTGCAAAATGCTGCACCAGCTGTTTTTTTTATTTGAACTATTTACTTTAACAACCTTTTGTTGCCCGTGCCCTCAACTTTTGAAAATGTGTTGCAGTTGTCAAATTCAATTTAACTTTATTTTACTCCCAAAATGGTACAATTTCTTACATTTGAGAAGTTAATTATGTTCGGATGTAATTTTTTTTTCATAATACTTTTCACTGACACAACTCACCTGAACTCCTCACATTCTCTACATTCAGCTGAAAAACCAGTGCTGTGTTTTGTAGCGTCTGAGCATTTAGGCCAAATGCCACAAACGGCTCACTGTCGTGACGTGTCGGGGTCAGCCATTCTGCTCTCAACCACTGACGGGACTTTTTTTTTTTTTTTTTCAAAGACTGGCCTTTATCCTCGAGTCAACAGACGGCAGTGAGATAATGCTTGTTGTGAGATCACAGGTTGAAAATGTGGAGTCACTGTGTCTAGAAACACAGCAGCTGACTTGTCTTCCAAACATCCCCAAACAAAGCAAGATTTTTTTTATTTACAAATACTTTTTTTAGTTTTACATCATGTGAATTCAAGACAACGAAATCTCAGCGTGTCCTGATGTTTTTCAGCATTAATCTATGTTTTAAAACTAAAAATACACCAAAAACATTAACTGCAGTAAAGTAAATAACAAAAAATGATCAAACGCGTATTCCTTGAAAGAATGCTCGTCACCTGCCGCCTTTCATGCAAACATTTTAGATTAAAATCATCTTATTTTCAGAAATCATGAAGTTATAACCATTTTGGCCAAATCTAGAAAATAATGCTATGTACAATCAAATGCAATATGTCACACTCAGAGTATATGTTCAGTTTATTTATGTACTGTAGCGTCAAATAACAACTGAAGTTTTTTCAGGACGTTGTACAAAAACAATCACATGCATCCAAAAGCCAGTCAGTAAAAGTTTTCTATCTAGGGAAGGAATCCAGCAGAGGCGTTGAATCTTAACTTCATTGCAGTCTCCCATCCTGAGCAAGCACAAAGGCAACAGTGGAAAGGAAAACTCCATTTTAACAGGAAGAAACCTCCAGCAGAACCAGGACAAACAGCCATCTGCTTCGACCGGCTGGGATTGAGAGGACAGAAGGAGAAATGAATGAACACAGAATGGCAGACTGTGTTAAAGACAGTTTTATACCGTCTACGGTCAGCTGGGGTGATTAGCTTGAATTTGATTAACTTTAACAGTCAGGTGCATCCCACTGGTAAGATTCTGAGTCTCATCTACATCTGTCCAGTGGTTCAACACAATAGTTCTAAACATGACTGAGTTATAGCCATATTTTTATTGTGGTGGAAAAAAAAAAAAACCTGAGCACTTTATCGTGTCTACTATTGATTGGACACAAAGACGCACAACAAAACTCAGGTGTTGTGCCAGTAGCAGAGATATTATAACTTTTGTGTCCTTTTCATGATACAACTCTTGCAGCTACCGCTAAAAACAAGCAGGAGCAAGAGGCAACCGGAGGTAAACCATGTGGCATAAATTTAAACGGAAGGACATCACCACTACTTGTGGTATTGGCTCCATAAGTTAATCAGCTGTAGTACATCCATTGATTACTTTCTGTAAGTTTCAGTAAATTTGGTCCAGTGGTACATGAGATATTTTGCTAACAGACATAGTTGATTCTAAATAGTTTGTGTGCAGTTTGTTAGTGCTTACAATGTGTACTGCGGATTGCCTTCTGTCTTTTGGCAGAGGGTGGTCATTTTCACATGACCATTTCGGTCACATTTTTATAGTTCAATATGCAATTATAGAAAATGTATTTCCTGTGAAAATACAGTGTGAATGCTTATTGCAGAAAATCTTGCTGAAAAACAGCTGAAATTGGTTTAAAAAAGCATTCTGAAATGTAGCTGAAATGGAAGAACAAGCCTAAATTAGCAGAAGAAAACAGAAATAACAAATATTAAGCAGAAATTATCACAAAATTAGGAAATTAGCTAAAAAAGTTGAAATTAACAACAACAACAAAACAGCTGTAAAGTAGCTTAAAAGGCAGAAATAAGCTTAAATTACCAGAAGGAAGTGGAGAGAGCACATTTTTTATTGATTAGGTAGAAAAAAGTTTAAATTATTGCAAAAAATGTGGAATTACTTGAAAAAGCTAAAATTTGCATAAAACAGCTGAATATTAGCTGAAAGAAGCTGAAAGGAACATAACAAACTAAATTAGCAGAAATAATTTAATTAGGCTAAAAATAGCAGAAATTGGCACCAAAAAAACTACTTTACCAGAAAAAAGCTGAAATTAGCTAAAAAAAACAAAAAAACATTCTGAAACGTAGCTGAAATGGAAGAACAAGTCTAAATTTGCAGAAGAAGGAAGAAAGAACATGCTTTCCCAATTGGGCTTAAGGAAAGAGAAATGAGTACAAAGGAATTGAAATTATCTGGAAAAAAAAGAGCTGAAATTAGCACAAAAACACGTGAAATGAAGCTAAAAATGCAGAAGTTTAAATT